CAAAATTTCCAAAATATAGAATTTCACTTTCAAGAATAAGGATTTGAAAATAAATTAGATGGTTAAATTGCATACTCTTTGTTTCTTGCTTTATTCAAAATGTTTTGGTTTTGGAAGCTGATGTCAACATTAGAAAGCATAGCCTACATGAAGTCATATTATAATAACTCGATGCCTCTCAAATAAGTAATAAAAATTCGCCATAATTCATCAAATATCCAGCGAAGCCCCCTGGACCCCCACCGGGGGCCCTAGGTGCCCCCCTGGCCCCCAGCCAAGTGAGACTCGATTCGATCCACTAGCTCCCCCCGTCGGGGCCTTTAGCCCCTCCGTCGGGCAGGTTCTGGCGCCACCCCAGGCAGTCACTGGACCTGAGTGAAGTAACATCTCTACTTCGAGATGCATAGTTTGGATAGGGTAAGGTGAGCGTTGTTAAGATATTACTGGGGTAACTTCTCTCTTGGGAACTTTTTTGTGAATAGGCTAGGAGTATACTGGTAACATTTACATTAGTTGAGTAACCTCTACCCTATCATATAGTGGACATTGTATTCTGTTATTGTTTTCCATTCATAGTTATTATTGCATACATTTTCATTGATGTCTTATTTTATGTGACCTGCAAATGGCTTAGTGAAAATGGACCCATGATGGCATTTTACAACTTTTAAACTTTGAAATGAAAAAGTTTTCTTATTGCTGCGCATCCCTTATTGCCTAATAAACGCAATATAAAAACATGCATATTTGCTTACTGATAATATTGCATCGCAGCTGACTCATGTGTCGCATTTGTGTCATTTTCTGAGAATCCAACTGTCGGGAGGTAACATGCGTCCGTATTCCACGTATTATTGCACGTCGCCCATGGTACGCCATTAAGGTTGAACGATGCAAAGAAGTAATAAAACGCGTAGCCAATAATAACGTTGTAGAAGAAGTCAACGAAAAAAGCAATCAGAACAACGGCCCAGCCAATACCTATAATCGATAATGATTAGTTAGGTAATTTCTAAAACGGATATCAGTGTAATAGTAAAGGTTAATTAAAACTGTCGAGTGCATGCAGCGTGCCACTGCATACAGTTACAGATATGTAGCATACCAATACTGTACATCAGGATGGCATGCTAGTAGCAAAATTGTATTTATAAATTCAAAGAATATAAACGTTGATTATTTTTGCTTATTACTATTATTACGTTACAAGCACAATAGATTAGTTAAACCAAGCATAATTGATGTTTGCTCAAACTTTTTAAACTATTATAGTATTTTTGTTATTACTGATTTTATTATTTCATCTTTGTAAGTGATAATAACAAAATAATAACAACAACAATATCTTGTAGTATAATGATGATTATAATGATGATAAAGATGAGAATGATGATAATAGCTGTACATACCTTTAAAGAGTGGACATATTTTATCCCATGTGGTTATAGCTCCTGTTTCGTTGTATTGGCCGAGGGAAAGTTCCAAGTAGAACATTGGGATCCCACAAAAAATCAGCATTATCAAGTACGGAATTAAAAATGCACCTGCGAACGTCAATGATTTATTATGTAAAGTTATCAACTATTTGAGGAACTGATTTTGGACAATGTATGAACATAATGTGATGAAGGA